ACACAAGCGGAAGCGGGGACCGCATAAGCGAAAATCGCTGTTGGCAGAAAGGTTTAAAGGATATTTTTCATCCGCGAAAACAAGAGGTAGTTTCCACCATTTTTTAAGCGACTTGGAGAGCTTTGGCGAGGATTTTTCGATGGTTTGACTGAGAATCAATTGGAGGTAAGTCTCTTGGCCTAATTTATTCGAGTTTATGGAGAAATTACATGTAATTGGTGAAAAATTCATCAAAAACGGGTCTGTCAAGCTAGGGCTTGGAAAGCTGTGATGTAAAATGGATTTTGAAAGGGCATTTGAACTCCGATTTTGTAAAATTGGTATGTATAGACTCGTGGCGAGACGAGGAATCCAGTGATTAAAAATTTCGTAATTTTTCGAGAAGTAGGCCCGGGGCTAGGGTTTTGGCCAACTTAGTGAATTTTTGGTGTTTTTCGAGTCTTTTCGACCGGGTTATGTTTCTTTAGCCTATTGTAATGTATTCGTTTGTGGTTTTAATCAGATTCGGCGTGCGAAGAGGTTGATTCGAAAGGCAAAGGCATAGCGAACTAGACTTGTGGCGGCCTCGAGTGAGTAATAGATGTAGATGATGACCTGAGGGTTTGAAACCCCGGTTATATCACATTTTGACGCTATGTATTGAGGCAAGACACGTATCTCTATTGACGACGTGCGGGGTCGATTGTGACTGGGGATTGTGACCTAGTCCGTTCCGAATTATGTTCGTACTGCGTTTCTTGACTAGAAATTATTTTGGTAATCATCCTACTTGGATTTTATGAATTGTTTGGGGCTTTTTTGCCTATCATGTGCATCCTTCAGGGATTCCTTATCACTGTGTTTCCACGATGCTTTAGCATATTTCATGATATCAGTCCTGAGTTAGACACTGCCTCGAAATGATTAGTACATAAATAAAGGTTTAAACACTTAGGCTCTTATAATTCCTAATATGAAACTAAAATGAATAATTTGACTTGTGCCCGAGTGGCTTGCATGCATATTATATATCTGGACTGATGCTAAAGTGTGGATCGGGCCTGCCACGCCGCAGCGAATATTTACTATGAATTATTGCGCTTGGGCGTTGTAGGGGAAGCCCCTCCGGGAGTCTAACCCCAGATGTGAGCGCGGGTTACCCAAATGGATCGGGCTGGCGCGCCGAACGGTCATGTGCATTTTGCATTGCCATTTCATGGTATTTATAATCTTGGTTCTTATTTGTTCATTGTCTGTTTGTTTCATCGTTTTAACGTGCTAATCGTTGATTATACTTTATATTTGTAATATTTCGGATTTCTTCTTTCAGCATTATATATGTTTATTACTCACTGAGTTGAAGTACTCACTTACTCCCTGCCACCATTGTGCAGATTCAGGTGCTCCGGAGACTTAGTGGCGAGTTGTTGACTGTTTTCGGAAGTTTTATTTTCAGGAGTTGTTGACGGTAGCTGCCCTGACTGTCCGCAGGACCGACTCCTCCCCTTTTATTTCATTTTATCTTTCCATATCCTAGACTTCTTATTACTATGGATATATTTACTCTTTACATTCTAGAGGCTCTAGGGACTCGTGACTCCAGATCTATTGGGGAATGTTTGGATATTCGTTTATTATTTTCCGTACTATTGTTATTTTAGTTTCGGATTGGAACCTTGATATTTGCTATTCTTAATCGTATTATTTGTAACGATTGAGTATTTGGTGAGAGTATTAAATTTGGTCGCGGCTTGCCTTAGCATTAGTGTGGGCGCCATCACGACCGGGATTGGGGTCGTGAACAAGTTTGGTATCAGAGCCTAGGTTACTAGCCTCGCGAGAGGTCATGAGCTCGTGTTTAATTAGAGTCTCGAGAACGGTTACGGGACGCCTGTACTTCTCCTCGGAGAGGCCTGCAGAACCTAGGAAAAACTCCATATTCTTGAAATTTCTGTCGGCGGCTTTGTGATTCGAGAAACTAAATCTCTGTTATTTCTATTCTCTCGCAGATTGGCGAGAATCGTGCTACCGGACGCGATGGTATCTCGACCACAATACCACACTAGAGGCCAGTGACTGCGGTCGTGGTCGTGGTCCGGAGGTTAGGGCAGCAGAGACAGCACCTGCTGAGCCCACCAGCATGCCACAGTTCAGGACCAGACTCCAGCTGTCGATGTCCCAGCAGCACCTGTGCAGGCACCAGCAGTGCCTACTTGCTATTCCTGGTCTCCAGGATACCTTGGCCACAGATACTATCAGTTTGTACTGGCCTGGCTCAGGGGTCTCAGCTTCTACTGCAAACAGCTGCTTCCCAGGCCGGGGAGGACATTCAGACCCTGTTGCTCACACACCTGAGCAGGTTTTGCCCAGGGATTTCAGGACACCGGAAGCAAGCCATAGCTCCTCCAGCTTCTCCAGATTGGCTCCAGTTGCTCCAGTTTCACCAGTTATGCACCAGCTCCAGCCTATGAGGTTCCAGCTATGCCGGACGATGAAGCAGCCAGTCGTCTTGAGAGATTCGGCAGGCTTCAGGCCTCTGATGTTCAGCGGTTGCTGAGGGCCGAGGGATGCCCAGGATTTTCTGGATAAGTGTCAGTGTATGCTTCGACTGCAGCGGATCTTAGAGCGATTGGTTTGTGGCTTTTTACTACTTTCCAAGTTACTCAGGGTTTGCATTTCACCTGGTGGGAGGACTTCGAAGGTAGGTCGGTTGGTGCAGCGCCCCTTACATGTAGGCAGTTCTCACTCTTCTTTCTGGAGAAGTACGTACCCGCCAGGTCTTCACAGGGAGGAGCTTGCGACGGTCAGTTCGAGTGGTTTGTTCAGGGGATTGGTCTGTTACCCAGTTACGAGTTGGAGATTCACGCAGCTAGCTCGGCATGCCACTTGGATGGATCCCGACAGATCGGGAAAGGATTAGTGAGGTTCGTTTGAATTGCCCTCAACTATTCACTCCGCATTTTTTTGATGACCAGAGAGAGGGTATGGGGTGCCTCGTTTGAGGAGGTAGTGACATGGCTCGAGAGATTGAGGACGGTTCCACCATATCACATCGGATACGTCGGGAGCGGTGGAGGAGAGGAGAGGCAAAGAGGGCCTCGAAGTTCAGGTAGTTTTCAGTGTGTCCGTCTAGGGCCAGTTCCAGCGCGGCAGAGGCCGTTCCTTTCAGCCTCCTCAGTCAGGTCGTCCAGAGTACAGTGGGGCCTCTTTAGGCTGTGGTCATCAGGGATTTCAGCAGGGCCAAGGACTTCACTTTTATGGCCCTTCCAGCTCAGAAGCTTCTACACCTGCCTCTTCAGCCCAGAGGTCTTCAGCAGCGAGGGTTTCCATCAGTCCGCTTCGTCCAGACGCCGAGGTAGTTGCTACGAGATGCGGTGAGTTCGGTTCATATGAGGAGACAGTGTCCTCGGCGTCGTGGTAGTCATCTCAGCAGAGGATCAAACCCTCATCTTTTGCTCCTGTTTCATCGTTACCCGCCCAGTCAGCTAGGGGTGGAGGTCAGGTAACCAGGCCGCCCCAGGGGTGTGAGGCCGGACTGGCGGTGGTCAGGCTCTATTCTATGCTCTTCCAGACAGGAGACGCCATTGCCTCATGATGCTGTTATCATAGTATTATTTCAAGTCTGCCACAGAGATTGCCTCTGTCTTATTTGATCCCGGATCTACCTATTGCCTATGTATCTTCATATTTTGCTCATCACCTGGGTACTTACCCGAGGTTGTCTTGCTTTCCTGTCACGTATTCTACCCCGGTGGGTCCGATACTATCATTGTAGGAATCATGTATAACCGATCCTGTTTAGGTGATATGCGGAGGTCTTGGAGACCCGAGTTGACTTATTGCTGTTTGAAGCTATGGTTGATTTTTGATGTTATTCTAGGTATGGATTTGGTTATCTTCGTAACCATGCTATTTCTGGACTTGTCATGACTAAGATAGTTACGTCTGGCATATTCCGGGTATTCCGCCAGGATTGAGTGGCGTGGTACGACTTGATTAATGTTCCCAGCAGGGTGATGTTTTTCTTAAAGGCCCACGGCGGATGGTTGGGAAAAGGTTGTCAATCTTATTTGGCTTTCGTTGAGAGATATTGAGCTGAGACTCCTAGTTCTTGATTCCGTCCCCGTCGTGAGGACTTCCCTGATGTGTTCCCAGCAGGACCTGTCGGGGCATTTGCCACCGGACAGCGGACATTGATTTTCGGTATTGATCGGTGCCGGGCACTAAGCCCATCTCTATTTCCTCCGTATCGCATGCACAGCAGAGTTTGAAAAAACTGAAGGACCAACTTCCAAGTAACTCCTAGATAAGGGGTTTATTTCGTCTCCTAGTGTGTCACCGTGCGGTGGGCACCTGGTTCTATTTGTAAAGAAGAAAGATGGCACAATTGAGGATGTAGCTTGATTACAGACAGTTGAACAATTGTGACAGTAAAAGAACAGGTAGTCACTTACCTCGTATTCGATTGATTTGTTTGACCACTCCAGGGAGGCAAGGGTATTCTCGAATTATTAATCTCCGTTCAGGCTATCGCCAGCTGAAGGATCAGGGATTTCGGGATATTATGAAGACTGCCTTCAGAACTAGATATGGCACTATGAGTCCTGTTATGTCTTTGGGCTGACTAATCGCCCCAGCCGCGTTCATGCACTTGGGATGAACAGCGTATTTCGGCCGTATCTGGATTCATTTTGTTATCGTTTTTATTGGGATGATATCCTAGTGTACTCGCGTAGCCAGGAGGAGCATGCTCGCACTTGAGAGTGGTGCTACAGAGGTTGAGAGAGGAGAAGCTTATGCAAAGTTCTCCAAATGTGAGCTTTGGCTTGGGTCTGTAGGCTTTTCTGGGACAAGTGGTGTTCCAGTGATGGTATTCAAGTTTTGTCCAAAGAAGCGTAGAGGCGGTGCAGAGTTGGCCCAGACCGTTCCTCAGCCACAGAGATTCGAAGGGTTTCCTCGGTTTGCGCAAGGTTATTATCGCCGCGTTCGTCAGGGTTTTTCCTCTATTGGCTTCGCCCTTGACTAAGTGACGCAGAAGGGATGCACCATTCGTTTATGGGTCAGACCGAGCGCGAGGAGAGCTTTTCAGAAGCTCAAGACAGCTTTACCACACTCCAGTGTTAGTTTTTAGCCATTCCCCTCAGGTTCTTACACTGTTGTATTGTTGCATGCCTTCGAAGGTTGGATCGGATGTGTGTTGATGCAGGAGGGGTAGAGTTATTGCATATGCTTCTCGTCAGTTGAAAACCTCATTGAGCCAGACTACCCCGTACATTGATTTGGAGTTGGCTGCTATAGTATCATGCGTTGAAGATTTGGACGGCACACTTATATGGCGTATCTTGTGCACGGTATATACTGATCATCGCAACTTCAGCATTGTCAAAACGGAAGGATCCTTAATTTGAGGCAGCGGAGGTGGACATTTTGAGATTACTCCAAGGGACTATGACCGGGCATTTACCATTTTGTATCTATCCGGGGAAGGCCAACGTTATGGCCCGTATGCCGTTAAGCTGAAACGTACTTAGTCGCACGCGTTTTTGAACACGGTTCTCAGCCTTATGGGTCTTTAGCTTTGGTCATTAACCATTCCCACGTTCTTGTGCGCGGTTGAGGCCCTTTGCAGATCGATGTCATGGCTTTTGGCCAACTTCGGGAGTGTGTCGATGAATTAGTCTCATTTCGGGCCTAGGATTCGAGGTGTTGGCCTTGCTGTAGTTTTCTCGCCGACTCTTTCCCTTGTTTATTAGACCGTAAGTCGCTACCAATCGATGAGGTACAAGAGCGCCATCAACACAATGCCAGTAGCTTGTCTAGACTTCCACTACTCCTGGCATGTGAGCTACACTCTACACAACGTAAGAGCGAGAATACTCAGAGCATACAACGCACTGATTCATTCAGCAACCTTCTTCCTGGTTGACTATTTGAATTGATCTGATGGCGTCGATGAGGCGGAGTCGCATCTGCAGAGATACGATAACACCCATATGGGGCCGAATTTGCGGCACCGTGAATTTGACATGACCCAAGTGTGGATGGGCTTCGGAAGTTTGATATTAGAGGAGGCCCACAGCTCGCCAGGTATTCCATTCATCCGGGGTGCCCGAAGATGTATCTGGATTTGCCCTAGAGGCACACTGACTGGTGAGAGGAGAATGAAGAAAGATATTAGTGAGTATTATGTAGCTCGGTGTCTCAACTGTCAGCAGGTCAAATATGAAGCATCAGAGAACCCGGTAGATTGTACTTCAGCGGATAGGATATTCCCGAGTGGAAGTGGCGAGAGGAATTTACTATGGATTGTGAGTGGTATCTCCTCGTACCTTTGAAGAAAGTTTTGATTCACTCTCTTCTTTTAGAAACATGCGGAAACTCATAGCCGTTCATGAAGTCAACAAGTCAAGAAACTCTCTCGCCCGCCAATGGCCAT